TCAGAACACATATTAAACACAGGACATGCATATGGTACTATAGAAAACACTATGGATATCATAGCAACAGGTAGGAAGGGGCAATACTTAAACACATTGGAGAATTACCATATATATAGAACGACAAAGAAAAACACACACATGAATAACATCAATAAAGAAATATACAACCCAATATACCACGAATTAAACACTATCTACACAGAACAACATAACAACACCCCACCCCCTACCCCCACCACATCTACGCCCACAACATCATAACTCACTCAAAACGAAGACAGAACACACACACATACCCAGGAAGCCCAACAGTATAACACACGCAGTCGCAGGAGCACGACACAACAAAACCACAACACACAAGATAGTGAAGGAGTGCTCCAACAAAGGAGAATGGGCGTGACTGACGTAGTGAGGGGCGACGTAGCGATGTGGTATCCTGAACAATTTTAATATTTTTAACGTTGGACAATGTATATGATGGATACATATTTTGGTTATTTTAATGTGTGAACATGGCATGCAATGAACTGGTTTGACGTGGATAAGTAAGCACCTGAAGATGGCATTATTATGCCGAAACATGTAGTGCGAGGGAGAGAAGGAGAAAAATGAGTGTATGCACTGCAAGACGGATTAAATAAATCATGAACTAACTTGAACATTTAAGTTTTTACTGTTTTTAGTTCTAAACTGTAGAAAATAATTTTTTTTTTCATAATTTATTACTAGCTCATTTTTCGTAAAGCATTCATTTATCATCTCAAATAATTTATTTATTCTGATTTTGAATTTCGCAGGATTCTTATCAAATATACGGATACTTCTATCGTCTGCAAATAATATTGGTTTGGATAGGTCACATATAATTTTTGGTAAGTCATTCACATATAGTAAAAAGAGCACTGGGCCTAATACAGAGCCCTGAGGCACTCCACACTGTATTTCTTTCCATTCAGAACAACATTAATTCAGAATCACATATGAAAGATTTGGGCACTCTGCTTTGCAGAATCAACTAAGGAATAAAGAGTCAAACACATTTTCAGCAAGATAATGCATTAGAACAAATCACAGGAAATGGCTGGTGGGTCTACAGATTGTTCTTGATGAAAGAATCAATAGGCAGTTAAGACTGTCACATTACCCACATACCAATGTGCGATTTCTTCCCATGAGAGAAAGGTATCTGACAACATCAGACAAGACAAGGAGGGAGCAATATATGTTATTGCATTATTTGGCAGTATGAAGTCACCTTTGTATGTGTTAGTGATTAGAGACAGTGTTTGGGTTGATTACAGAATTTACTGGAGGCCTATTACTCATAACTACAGATAATCTGCAAATAATTACAATACATTCCGCTTATCTCCAGTCTGTTGTTTCTACGTGTGCTCACTGCTTGGTAGCAGTTCCCAACAGTGGGGATTCTCTCTGCTTCTTTCAAGCTCAATGGCTACTGTCCTTGATAGCTGACCGCTAACATCTCTGGTCTGGTTTAGTAATTCGCTGCTTGCCTTTGCAACCAGTCATTCTTGGTTTTGGACCCTGTATAACCCATGACAACATTTTCTGCCTCACGACTGTAACTTGTTAGGCTCAACAACAACAGCTGCACCACCAGTGGTGCATGTGTGAGTGCATGGTCCAGCAGAACTCAGCAGGTCCTGTTCACCAGAATCACAGCCTCACAACATAGCCCTTGACGAGTCCCAATCTCCCTCAGCTATACCATATGAATCCTTGATTGTTAAGTAGGACCAATTTACAGTTTACTTCCACCCAGGAATAACTGCCAATTCCTGGCATACCCATTTAATTAATTCTCAGTCCCATCTTGGCAGGAACAATAGAATTACCTCCAAATGCAATCCCACCTACAAACACAACCCATGAGCCAATCGATCCCAAATTCTGATTTCCACCAATTACGATCTACCTTGCTACTTTTTGGAGCAATCAGAAACAGGGACAAAAATACACATTAGTACATACTCATCTCAAACATACCACAAATTTCAGCCACCTTCATTGGTGTTTATAAAAGTATCAAACAGTTCATCATCAGCCATACAAATTTCACTGTCTGAAATAAACAAATGTTGCTCCAAATCAGTCATATCCCAACTCTGCCTGTTTCTGCTCTGACAGCTCAACTAATAATTCTGACTTTGACTGCAAGAGCCTCCAATTTTGGAACTGAGTGAGTTGTTTGCTGGGGTAACCCTGTAGTTAGTAGTCACTGCATACAAAAAGTTCCTTCAGTAGGCCCCACAAAATAATTTGGTGAGGTTCAATCTGTGGAGCTTATCTTTCGAGATAACCAGGTGACCAAATAGTGCAGCTGATATAGCAACTGGCTATGGGATGGACGGCTGAGGTGTCGGAGTTCCGAGTCCCAGTAGGGTCAAGAATTTTCTATTCTCCATGTGGTCCAGACTGGCTGAGGCATGCACAGCCTCCTATCCAGTTGGTGCCAGGAGATATTTCACTGGGGGTAAAGCAGCTGGGGCGTGAAAATGACCAATTATTTCCAACCAGTGCCAAGGTCAAGAAAACATACATCTATACATCCACTCCTCCGTACATTTTCATGAAATGATGGTTAATTAGTTAAGCACAGGGACAACTCCACCTTGTATCTGTCACCATGATGCCTTGCCCATCTTACAGAGAGCAGCCAATAGACAGATCCTCATAAGTCACATTCGGTTTATGAAATGCACTAAAAATTGTGAAGTACCTCTGTGTTCACAGAGCAATAAAGAGAACAGATCTAATAATTCAGATCTGGGAAATCACACACACCGGTTTTTCCACAATTCAGTGGTTCTTTATGAACTGTGTGTTGGCTTTCTGTCACCAATTAACTTGTGAGTTCATGTATCACCTCAGATGATACTAGGCAAATGAGCCCCCACCAAAAATGCACATATCCTTTATCCACATAAAGCTACTCCTGAACCAGTATTACACAGTATGGATGCAGTTTCACAATTTGGGCAGCTGTAAGACACACAATTTGGTACATGGGTCACTTAGCAAAGCATCATCAATGGCTCGGAGAGGTAAGCTTCTGGCCCCCTACATGACAATCCACAATGCTTTCCTGTCTCTAACTTCTTTGCAGTGGCGGCTCGTAGCTAAAATCAGTGGGGGTGCTGCTCCAGAAAATTTGTAGCCTTTGTTTTAAAATTGTATAAAAAGAAACAAACATGTATAAAAAGAAAATTTATTCAGAAACTTTATAAACTCCTAAAAGAACAAAATCAAACATTTTTTTACTTACTTTAGCCTAAATTCTTACAGTTCAAGCTTAATCTATTCATTTAAAAATGAAATCCATTCTTCTTGTTTTAATTTGCGCGAAAAGATCAATAATTTTCTCCTT